TTTTTTACATGGCAGGGTTGTTGGCCTTGCGCACAACCACTTGGGGGGTTGCCCCTCACAGCTCAATGGGTAGCTGCCTTTGTTCGGGTTAGGTCCCTAGCCTTTGTGGATCCCTCCACTTCCTACAAGGCAGTAGGGCTGATTTTGGTCCGCCCCGGGTATTTTATTTCCCCGGTACCCTCCATATCTGGCGGGCTTTCCTCTATCCGCCGGCTGGGGAGGCGCTCGATAGAAGATCAGCATCTCCCACGAGATAAACATCATTACATAGATAATTCTTTTTAAAATTAAGAATTCTGCTGAGACTTTGCAATAAGAGATAGAAAGTGTCGCAAAGTGCTTACCATTATTACACCGGTAACAGTAGGTCATACATTCTAGTTTAATAATACTGAAATTTATTAGTTTACTACTACTTACTGTTTCAAATCACTTCGCCCACAGTAAAAAAGAAATATCCATTGCGCAAAAAAAACAACAACAAAAAACAAAAACTAGTGAATTCCGAGCAACGTGTTACATTCCCAAACTCAACACAGCCTCTTGGGATACTTGGGGAGCAGCTTCTAATATTGCTTTGGTCATTTGTTCACAGATTTTGTCTGTGCTGTTGTTGTTGGAGTTCGGGGAAGAGTTGGGGGGGGGGGTGGGGGTGATATGTCCTTCATTCCTTCTTGCTTTAAATAATTATAAAAAGTGTTGGACTGCGATTAAGCTTTAAAAATAGATTAATAAGACACGAACAAATTGTGTCAGTATAACAATATGAGTTCGCTTTAATAATAATTATACATTATACACAATTAAACGTTTCGGCACATGCCTTCATCAGTACAAACAAACAAAACACATTTAAGTAAGTATAAATTAAATTTACATAATATCAATATACATATCCTATCTAAAACAGAAACAAATATGGGAGAGGGCGCTAAAACCAGACAAAAACAAAGTAAAGAGGAGTAGAAAGGAAGTGATTTTAACATAATGAGAGTAGCTTAGTCACTTCCTTGTTTGGTCACGTGATGAGAGTAAGCCATCACTAGGCTGCTACACACAACAATGTCATGTTACTTAAAAATTTTACCTTTCGAAATATTCTGGAATACACGCGTTTTTTAAATGAAATACATAAATGTGACAATAAATATACTTCAGTTATGATTTAAGGAAGAAAGTTATTTCAAGAAAAATTTGTGAGCGATATTTGATGGGAACTATCAATACTATTATCGGCAGGCTGTTGTTGAACTCCGTGCGTGCCCATGACGTCATTTGCGTGTTTATTCAATCATTTGTGCAGGAGTCATTCCCCTTTGTTTATTTTATTGTTAATTTTCATTGGACGAAATGTCGGCATACCCATGACGTCATTTGCGTCTTTATTCAAAATTGGTGCGGCAAAGGAATTATTTAATAACCGGTTGGAACAAGATTTCATGGGAATAAATAACGAAGGTCCACTTTGTCAAGCCATTGTCTTAAATTTTCTTTATCCTTAAGGGGAAACTTATGCAGACTTATATCGCTGTCCTTAACTTGACTGTTTGAACAGCCAAAAGCCGAAAATCGCCTAGGCATCTTGAATTACTAGTTGTAGTGTGTAACGGCTATTGTTGTCAAGCACTAGTGTGTTGTATACATCCTACCGTAAGTCTTACTGTGTTTTTACTCTCATCACGTGACAAATCAATCGACTGAGTGACTCCCATTGTAAAAACCAAACAGGAAAAAGACATGGCAGCTAAGTAAAATTGTGGATTTTAACATCGTTTTCCTTACCAAACATCCAAGCCCCTAAATCTAGTTCACAACAGTGTTGTTACTGTGGGAAGGAAGCTATGGTGGGTAGGTCCTAGAAATGGGTCAATTAGAGGAGGAATTTCAACGTTTAGCATTATTTCTAACCAATACTTTTAGCATTACCTTTCCCACATGCCTAAGAGGTTGTAAAGGGGGACCAAGTTTTGAACTTCGTTTTCCTTTCGAAGAATCTTCCGTTCATGGAAACGTCTGCTCGGATAGCATTCCTTAGTTCAAATTGGTTGCATGTACCATTTCAGGTAACCATTGGAAGCTGCCTAACTTATTCATTCCTAACCATAATGTTACTCTTTTTGTCCAACTGTTTTGTTTTCTAAAGGTCAGCTCAGTTTATTGAGATACGTTTCTCATTGCACAGTCTGAAATGATCGATCTCTTCTCAAAGTCCTGACGACTTCTTCAATCCAACACACATCACTGACAACACTAACAAGTGGATGTTTATTGACCTGTAGTGGCAGTCGGCTGGTCTTTGAAGAGTTCAAAAACCCAACGACGTTCATCACAGCAGTGATGTTTGATTTTTTAGATCTGCGCGAATCATGATACCATTCACAGATTTGTCGAGTAATTGGAGTTTAATTGGCAAAGCCAGAGCCGTCAACACAATTCAGTTTTCCAATGTCAGATTTGAATAATTTCTAGTTGTACAAAAAGGTCGTTAGCACGGAGAATATACCATGGTTGGATGTTTCATTGTGGTGAGCTGTTGGACCTGTTGCGTTGTGTTCGACCATTCATGGCGATGAGTGTCTACTTGTCTGGGCCGAGTTGTTCACTTCATCCCACGAGACAGTATATCTGATTGCCTTGCATAGAAAGTAGCAGAATCTGTGTCTCACTTATGAATGTCAATAAATGAATTAATATTTAACATCCATCTACATGTACGTAAGATAATCGGATTATTAAGTTCTCTACCCCGAAACCCCACCCCCCCACCCCCACCCACACCCTTACACTCGCCCGCGGATGCCACATTTAATTAAACACCAAAAGGTCCGAGGGTCATGAAGTAAAAAGTCATTTAATAACAAAGAGGGAGTTACAAGGGGAGACTAATGTGTTCAAACTGGGACACATCGGAGTGGAAGGGAGGCTCTTGACGTCATATTATAATCATCTAGTTCAGGGGTTCTAAAGCTGCGGGTAGCGATCTCTTTGGGGTGGGGGGGGTGTTGGGGGGGGGGCTAACGATCCTTACTCGCCTTAGTCCAACGGAAAACAGATATTTTTGAAGTAGCAACGAAAATAATTTTATGGTTGGAGGTCACCACAACATGAGGAACTGTATTAAAGGGTCGCGGCATTAGGAAGGTTGAGAACCGCTGATCTAGTAGGTCGAAGCGCTTCTTCTTCTTTTCACAAAAACACTTTCAGACACTTAATTAGTGTGTTTACGTTCAGACGACACCATCGTGGCATATACCATTGGTAAATATCATAAGGAATTAACGTTTGAAAAAAAAAATATATACACAAAAATAAGCTCAAAATCGAACATGCCGGTATAATCAGACAAACCAGTGTTTTTGGAATGATATAATTAGACTAAATTATAATGTACATTTTTCATTGCGTAAAAATCTTTTTTTTTCATATTTATAATTGGGCAAATGTGTCAATAATTTGTCAGCGTTTCCGTGTTTACTGTATAATCAAAATTCGATCTCTTCACACGTAGCAGTAACTGTGAGATTACTCGATTACTCTTTAACGGGAATACGCCTAAGACGTTTACCTAATAATTCAAGTATTAAGGTTCCTTGGAGAAAATGATCAACTCGATGCATTTTAGAAGAACACTACGGACGTTGGCTGTCATCGTAGTAGACCAAACATCTGGAGGGACGCGATCAAAGTAACAATGGACAACACTACAGTACTTGACCTGTTGGTTCAAGTGCACGTAACCGAGGACACCAACTTGACCACTGACCCAACGGAAGGCATGGAGACCCTGACGGTACTTCAGATTGTCATTTCTTGCTGCCTCAGTGGAGTCACAAGTGTCTTGGGTATTGTTGCAAACGCCGTCTGCATTACTGTTTTTGTGAGGCAAGGTAACATTGCTATAGTTTTTAATACACTTTTTTGAAATTATTGATAAGCATTACTAATAAATAGATATAAATAGGAAGAACAAATGGAATGAACGATTTGAGAATAAATATCTATTTCCCGCATGTAAGTCAGTGCTACGGTAACGTGATCGGTGTATTTAACTCTACGCTCGCATGATCAGAGTCTCGAGTGCTATGGTCACGTGATCAGAGATTAAGTAAAAGATCATACTTGCAAAGTAGATGAAGTTTAAAGAATTTTTTTTATTATTGTACTCAATAATCTTAATCTCCACATACCTCTCATTTGACCTAGGTAAAGTCACTCTAGCCAATGAACTCTGCTTAAGACTAAAGAAAACATGACCGGGACAACACATTCAGAGAATGAAACTATATCGGCTTCCGGATGTGTCATACAAAAAAGTATACAACGACACTAAGCTCTCTACGGCAGGGGTCTTAAACTCCAATCATCCGGGGGCCGCAGGAGGTAGAGTCTGGGTGAGACTGTGCCGCATCAAGTATTCCACACAAAAAGTGATTACAAAGTCAATTAATTACAACTGATACAATCTGCTCAACCTTTTTTTTATAACAAATAAAACATTGAGGGTTCTCAAGAACTAGGCTTCACTTTCTTCCTCCTACTCCTTGTTGCCAGACATCTGGCGGCGCTTCCTCTTACACAGGTGAGCATCATTATGCTTGAGTGAGGAAGTAACTGAGACCCTTGGTATAGCTTGAAGATGCCCATCGGTAAGTTGGGTCTTGAATGTTTACTTGTTAAACTTCATAGTGGAAAAGAGCTTTTCAAGCAGATGGGTACTAAAAAAAAAAAGGGAATATGATCCGCATGAAGAGCCTGGAAATCGCAGTGAAGGTGGAGGGCTATGCTCTCATAAATTATCCATGCATGTCTGTTTTTCCATTCTTCTTCCTGAACTTAGGATTGTACTAAAGACCAATTATCTCCATTTGAATCGCAAGTTGGGGTGGGGGTGCATCTTCCAAATTGAAGGAGAAATGATCAGCAAAATGTTGAAAAGTCGCTCTGTCTGCTTTGAAGTCTAAAAACATGTGATCAAATTCTTCATGTAGCTTTGCAATGGCATCAGTATACTTACTACTGAAGGGTGTGCCGGAGTCCATGAGTACTTTGCATGTTGGGAAATTGCAGAGGTTTCTCGAATAATCATAACACAAGTTTCGTGCAGAATGCCCTGACATTGTCATTGGCAAAACTGACAAGCTACCCCACGTCTTGTAACTTCTTGTTCTTCTTCTTCTATATCTTAAGAGCCCACGATCAATTTATTGATCATTTTGGCTCCTATGCATGTAGATGGGATTTGCAATGTTTCTGTTACTGGTGGTGATGAGGAAATTATGCACTAGGGGTTTGAAGGCTTGAGGCAATAGACACAATTCTGTTACTGGTGGTGATGAGGAAATTATGCACTAGGGGTTTGAAGGCTTGAGGCAATAGACACAAATGTGTCTAGTGTTGTCGCCTCAACTGTTCCTTTTGAAAGATGGTTCCAGTCCCTGATTGTTGAGTACATTAATCTCCTGTGTAATGTCATCAACAAAAAACAACAAGTCCATGAGCCATTTGGGATTACTTAGTACAGGAATAACCAGCCCATCCTTCTCCATGAAAGCTTTTAAGACTGAAACGTATCCAAACAGTAGGCAGGTCAGGCCATATTTATGAATTATTGATTTGATGGAAGATGCTATTGTAGGGAGAATGAATTTTGATTTTTTATCGAAGGATATTCGTTTTTGAATAACCAATTTTAAAACTGACCGGCTCCCAATTTCTCACACACGTAAACACTAGCGGCAAATTTAAATATGGATTCTTTGATACTATGTCATGTTTCTACGGTTTACACAATTATGGTTGTGCACTAAGTGACTTTTTAAACTTTCCTCAAAACCGCACTTTGGCCATGTTTGTCTCATAAACTTCTATAAAATAAAAATTTTCAGTCCGATTTTTACCATTAAAATCAACGTTCAAATCTAAACAAACATAATAAAATTCAGAATTAGACTAGTCGGTAAGATTCTACTGAAACCGTCGCGGAGGGTTACATTAAAGATATGAGAATGGGGGAACGCGCGGGCCGCATTAACACTAAACTGTGCTGTCATGTAGCGGGCCGAAAAATATCTAGTTGGGCGCCGCAAATGGCCCGCGGGCCGCGAGTTTGAGACCCCTGCTCTACGGCTTATCCGCTCTATAGAGAAATATGGGCTCAGCAAAGTCAAGCCAAGAAAAATCCAACAAGACTGAAGTTACGTAAATGTTAACACGCCCATGTCTGCTTTCTATTCCCCCAGAATTTAAGGAGAGTACAAACATCACACTGCTGGCGCTCGCCATCTCCGACTTCTGCTGTTGTCTGACGATGTTCTGGATGTCCTTGGTTCAGACGGCGTACATTTTGGACCCACCGCCGTTTCTGTTCGATCTTTTGAGCCTTCTGGCTATGACCGGAAGTTTCCCTAGGATCATCATCACCCGAGTGACCAGCTGGCTGACCGCTCTGATTGCACTGGAGCGTTGCGTCTGCGTGGCTCTGCCATTCAAAGTCAAGGCGATCTTCTCTCCCAAACATTCCGCAGTGATGACTGCGGGTGTGTTCAGCATCATGTTCAGCGCCAACATGTTGCTGTATTATTCTAACGAATTTGCGATGACCTACAATCCGCGGTTCAATCTGTCTCAGTTCACGATGAAGACGATTCCCGAACGGGTCGATGTTGCTTTTTACATAAACGCATTTGTGCTTTTATTATTGCCTTTGGTAAATTACGCGTTTATCATGAGTTGCACTTTGGTGATGGTCATACAGTTAAAAATAGCAACAAAATGGCGGAACGGCGCATGCGCTGGTGTGAAAGATGGACCCATTACACACCGGGTTAAAGAAGATCACGTGGATAAAAATGTCGCATCAAGACTAAATGTCGAGTCCCCCAATGGTGATCACCGGATTCACCTAACGAAAGAGACGAGACTGACCAAGCTGATCGCCACGACTACTTCCGTTCACGTCGTCTGCCACGCGCCAAGTAACGCAGCTCTCATCATTAGTTGTTTCGTGCCTGAGTTCAGCTTCAACGGCCGATACAGTCTGGCGTATCTGACGCTGTGCATTCTGGGGTTTCTTCTGGAGACGGTTAACTCCAGCATCCCCTTGTTTGTATACTATGGACAGAGTTCCAAGTTCAAGGCCGAAATCCTTCGAAGGTTCAGTGGCGGCCACTTTAGGATGCTGCGAGAGGGGCCGTCGAAACGGGCGTGTTGTTAGTGATTCCGATCAAAACTCAAATCAACAAAGTAAATCCAAAATTGTCTGAAGTTTACGAAATATGATTAAATTTAAAGGAATTCTTTGTGTTTGAAATTTGGTGATGCATCAATTTCTTATCACTCACCGGCAGTTTAACATCACATCAGGACGCTACGGAAATTTAAATATAGAGGGTTGCGCAGTGGCCACAGTACTGAAACTTTCGGACTTATGATTGGAGTAATTATTAAATGCGTTCTTTCGCCAATTCTGACTGATTGATCGGTCAATGCTTCCAACCATAGAAGGAAGGAGTCAAGTAGTAAGATGGAAACTGATTTTAAAAGCTTCCTAACCTTGAGTTTGATAACAACATTAGCATCACAACCACTTCAAAGAGCGACATCAACCTCCGCACTATGCCCAGGATCAACTTAGCATCCACACCATGCCTATGATCAACATCCCCACTGTGTCCATGATTCATGAAATGTAGTTATGACTGTTCCGCTATATGGACAAAGTTTTTTGAAGACCTAACACATCAGAATAGCAAATGGAAATTGTTTGGACCAAATTGCCAATGAAAGACATTTAGAAAAAATTTAGCCCTAATGAAAAAATTATAAGCTAATGAAAAGTAAGATTAATTTAGGAAACCATAGAGATTGCATGTTTCTGTTAGAAGAATGCCATTCAACCTACTTCCAAGGCCTTCAATGGATGAAAGACCTATGGAAATAACGCAAAGAATAAAGAGATGGATGTGCCAACAGACAACATCCATCAAAGAATGAACTTGACTACATTAGTGTTCCTTGACTAGAGCTCCCTGTAACTTAGCTCTGGCTGTCATGCTGTTCGTCCCTGGTTTTCAGTGCACCGGAGAACACAGCCTACAGGACGATGCATTTGATTGGCAACTTGATTGAAGCGATCAACACAAACTTTTTTAACGGAAGAATAAGAAATATGTTTAAAAAAGGAAAGGCTGCCGATGATGTAAACATCTATTATATCAATATCCCTGATCTCTTGCAACGGAAAACTTTCAGAAGGCATAATCAATAATCGCCACTATCGGTGGCTAGAAAAACTGTTGTCATAGATTGTTCGTCCTTCGCATACGAAGATGACCTTGACTATATTAAACGGTGAGTACGCATGTAGCATGCCAGTCCTAGTTGTGCCTGATTGACGATTAAGTACTTTTTGAAGCTTTGTCTCCATGCCATTTTAGCATGCTCGCAGCACTCTGATGTCATGAAATCTATTGAAATTAAAAATCTTTAAAAGTTTCTTAAAGGACTTTTCATCATTTGCGCTCCATTAATAACCATAATCATTCAATTTACGGAATTAGGGATGTGATTTTTTTTTAAAATGAAAATATAAATATTGCAGGGTAAAAGAAATCTGAGACTTTAAAATTTTAATAAAGTTCAGGCGCGTTAAAAATGTGTAGTTGAGCACGTAGGGACCAACCATTCCATTTATTCATTTTTTTTTTTTTGTTGCGGGAGTTGGGGGGGGGGGGGGGGAGTTGGTGCTTTCATTTTGCCACAGAGTGGTTGACATAATTCAGGGGAATGCAATAGGATGTGTACATTTTTACGTGAATACCAATAATATTACAGTCGGAAAAAAGAAGTGTTTCATTCTATTTTAACAAACAAATATATTTACTACCAATTAAGAAAATAAAGTTCCAGGGCGTTTACAAATTGTAGGTACCTTACCTCAAATAAAGATATCAAAACTTAATCATTTTAAACACATTAAAATTTTATCTTTAAAATAGAGGCATTTTTTTTTATTTTACAGATCATGGGCGTGAACAGCGATGAATTAAGATTTTCTTTCAAGATATGAAAACAAATTTTTTTTTCACTCAGCAAAAAGTAAAGTTAATTGAAAAGTGGGTGTAAATTTTAATAAGATTAATGATATTTCTTTTAAAAGACACATTCGACGATGACGTGAAAATGGTTTATAAGTTTCTACTTTAGATAAAAACATTCTTTATTTTATAATTTAGTATAAAAACAAAGCAAAAGATTGGTTTAATTTTTAATGGAGATACCAATATTTGAAATTCCTTTAATTTAATCGATATCAAAAATGGTATCAAGATTTTTTGTTCTTGTAAATTTAAGATACTTTTTTTTCTTACAATTTTTTAGAATAAAAATATGCGCGAAAAGCTGACCTGGTAGACGTATGTTATTATATTCAGATGAATATTTCTCAAAACTAAATGAAGTAAGAAACGTAAACAGCATCACATAAATACGTCTTTTTAAAAAAAATAATTCTTGTGAGACTTTGCAATAGGAGATGGAAAGTATCGCAAAACGCCTACCAGTGTTATCCCGGTAAGGTTGGGTCATACATTCTAGTTTAATAATACTTAAATTATTCTACAACAACTAATTAGCGGTTTCAAAACACACCGGGCAAAATAAAACAGTGTATCCGATGCGCAAAAATAATTAGGGAATTCCCAAACTCGACACAGACTCTTGGGATACTTAGGGAGCAGCTGCTAATATGGCTTTGGTCATTTGTTCAGACTTTGTCTGTGTTGTTGTTGTTGTTGTTGTTTTGGTTTGGGGAAGGGGGTGGGGTTACTATATCCTTCATTCCTTCTTGCTTTAAATAAATCCTATTGCTGCCCACAGATTACTACTTACCAGCTAAGTGCTATTTCTTTTTTTTTTTTATCTGTATACCGTTTTTTCTGTTGTTTTGTTCGCTGACGAAGGCTTTCTGCCGACACGTTCGCTGTTTTGTTGCGTTTATTTTTAAGGTTTAACCCTACTCTGTTTTACTCATTTTATTTCGTACCAACCTGATGGCAGTCTCTCCCCTTCTTACCCCTTTAAATAAATCCCGGTTTTTGTTGTTGGTTTTTTCTTAAATTGAAATTCCAAGAAATTTGTTGTTTTAAAATTATTTTGATAATGATGATGATACTATAAAAAAAAAAGATTAAAAAAAAGAAAAAAGGAAGATACGCTCGGTAGTTCTTAGAAATATTTCACTTAGTGGGGGAATTTCAACGTTTCGCTTTTTTTTTCAGCATTAATTTTATCATTTTTCTTAGCATCATTATTTAGCATTTATTTTTAGTTACCTTTTCCCCCACATACCGTCTAAGAGGTCGTGAAGAGGAATCAAGTTTTGAACGTCATTTTCCGTTCGTAAAATCTTCCGTTCATGGAAACATCAGCACTGAAATCATTCCTTATTACAAATTGGTTGCGTATACATTTTCAGGTAACCATTGGATACTGCCTAAATTATTCGTTCATAACATAAATGTTATTCTTTTTGTCCAACTGTTTTCTTCGAAAAGTTTATCTCAGCTAGATACTATCGATCTGTTCTCAAAGTCCTGACGACTTCTTCAATCCAACACACATCACTGACAACACTAACAAGTAGATGTTTATTGACCTCTAGTGGCTGTCGGGTGGTCCTTGAAGAATTCAAAAACCCGACAACGTTCATCACAGCAGTGATGTTTGATTTTTTAGATCTACGCGAATCATGATACCATTCACACATTTGTCGAGTGATTGGAGTTAGAGTGGCAAATCCAGAGTCGTCAACACAATTCCGTTTTCCAAAACCAAAGTCAGAGTTGAATCATTTCTAGTTGTGCAATGAGTTCGTTAGTGCGGTGAATATTCCATGTTTGGACGTTTCATTTTTCTTGGTAAAGCGATTTTAACACAATTTTTGCTTGGTGGGAATCGCTCTGTTCTACTTTCGTTGAACTAAACTATCAATCAAACCGCTCGAAGGCTGGCTTTTGGCTGTCATGACAAGTCAGTTTTTTTTTCCCATTGAAATTGCTGCTGGTCACCTAGTTTTGAGGTATGGTTGCAAACAACGTTATTCGACTGGATAATATCTTAAGCATCTAACAACATCTTAGCACATAATAACTCTACGCTAGCAATCTAAAATCATCTTATCCCACAGAAAAACACTACTCTAAGCAATCTTCTTTTTCTTTACAGCTTTGGAAGGAACTGGTTGTGACGTTGTTCTGTTATTGTGGTACAATCTGTTAACATGTTTTTATGCTGACAGCTCATTTTAATATTCCAATTACGGTTACATTCTGATTTCGTTGACAACTGTAAAAAAAAAAAATTCTTTCACACCAAATGTTCTTTATTTGATAAATGATATGAAAATTAAATCTAAATTTACTATAAAAATGGTTTAAAGGTGAAAAGAAAAGTTATTGGACAATACCTTTACACGAATGTCAAGTGCTGCCACCTTACCCCAAAAGATTATATCAATGTTCGTGAACAGAAAGAGTTGTGACACATGTCATCGCCCGAATAATTATATTTCATTATTCTTTGTATTTACTTTCCTGAATCTTATTACCGTGACCTTGTATAGAGGGCAGGGAATTCTGTCTTTTTTGATATCATTGTTTTACGTGTTTACTGATTGACATTAGTACTCATGAATGTCAAGAAATTTATGAAAATTTAACATCTGTATATATATATATATATATATATATATATATATATATATATATATTTTCATTAAACCCTAAAATACCCAAGGATCGTGAAGTAAAAAGTCATTTAATAACAAAGGGGGAGTAACAATTACTGGGTGCCAATTAATGAAGGGAGACCAATGTGTTAAAAGTGTGACACTTCGGATACGATGCGAGGCTCTTGACCTTTCATTACAATCCTCTAGTATGGCGTAACTATTTGTCTTCTTTTTTGGAAGCATATGTTCAGTCACGTAATTGGTGTGTTTACTTTCAAACGAAACCATCTCTTCATTTACAAGCTGTGACCGTCGTAAGAAAGGAGCATTTGACAAAAAACCAACACTTTTAATAAGTAAGGTCAAAATCAACCATACCATTATGTTCAGCCAAAGCAAGACTTTTG